GGAATCCTGCCTGTTTTCAAACCAATTGTAAAACTCATATTGAATTCTGTGAAGTCAGGTTTTCTTTTCGGTAAAGTACTGAGTTTAACTCCCTCGCAGATACATTGTATACAAATTAAATTATTAAATTCCAGTAATCTAGAGAAAGGAAGCTGTTGCTCAGGGGTCCATTTGCCAGCTCTGGAAAAAGCTTTTTTGTGATGTTTGCCAAGTCACCCATTTTCCGTGCCTCAGTTTCCAGTCACCAGCCGACCCGTGGGTGTGAGCCTGGCGAGGTGTGTTGTCTCGGTAGCTTTTATCCCAACGATTTAACCTAACCCCGCAAACTTCCTGAGCCCGCAACACAGCCTGGAACCTCCCAGCGAGAGGACTCCTGGCTGTTAGCGCTGCTCGCCTGGCTCAGCGCTATGGAGAGTTCCTCCTTAAAGCCGGGAATACATGAACCAGAGCCAAACTGGCGCTTGTATTCATGTAAATATTTTCTTTTTTTTTTTTTTCCCCTCGCTCGAGGTGTAGACACAATCCACTATTTGAGGAAAACGCTCGAATTCTGCACACCCCACATACATCGATTTGGTCAATCTGCTTTGCAATCCTCCACTGAGCACAATAAATGAGCCCATTCAAAAAAAAAAAAAAAAAAAAAAAAAAAAAAGAGAGACCGAGAGAGTGAGAGAGAGAAGAAGCTGGTATTTTCTCAGGTGGTCGGAGGTGTTCTTAACAGCCCGACTCCCCCGGCAGGGGCGGTGGGGAGGGGAGCCGGGCAAGAGCGCGGCGGGAGCCCCGACGGGACGAGCCGAGCCGGCCCCGGGCTATCCCAAAAGGGTCCGGCCCCATCTCGGGTTGGAAACCCCGCGGTTCTCCCTCAAATCCCCCGCTCCGTGCCAGCAGCCCGCTCACAGCTCAGGTGGCGGCGGGTGGCGGGGTGGCCGCGGCCGCGCAGTCCCGCGGAGGGTGGCGTCCACCGCGCCCCCACTTCGCCCAGCTCCGGCCGCTGGTGGGAGGGGGGTCAGGGCCGGTTCCCCTCCTCCTCATCCTCCTCACATGAGCCGCAACCAAACCGCCAACGCGGCCGTCGGCGAGCGGGCTGAAAAGCGCGCTGCGAAAAACGCGGAAACCAACAAACATTTTCATTTTAAATCCTTTTAAAAGGAATATGGTTTAGTGTTGGTGTGTGTCTTTTGTTTGGGTGGGGGTTTTTGGGGGTGTGTGTGGTTTTTTTTTAATGGTTGGACTAGATGATCTTAAAGGTCCCTTCCACGCTAGGCGATTCTGTGATTCTATTCTTCATCCTGTTGGAAGCGTGAAAATTCGTTTAAACGCCCGTGGGGACCCTGAAGTGCTTCCGTGGATTTAGCTGGAGAGACGGGGCGACCGGGCACACGCAGCCGTCCCTTGAGGGCCCACGAAGACGGGCACGGTCTCACCCCGTGGGCCCACGGAGACAGGCTGGCCGCTGGACGGAGTGTCACCTGCTACGGGACCTCCCTGCGGTCCTCACCGCCTCTGCGGGTGGAGCACACGCGTGGGATGTGCAGCATCCCCGAGGAAATGCCTGCCCCGTCTCATCCCCATGGGTGCCGTCGGGGAAGAGGCGGCTCTGGTTGGCACCCCGAGGCTACCGGTTGTCCGGGGGCACCGTGGGGCGGCAGGGCGGCCTGTGCAGAGGGGCGAGAGGCAAACCCACCCCTGGGTCACAGCATGCCGTCACGCCCGGGGGGGCGGCGGGTCTGGGGTGCCGTGGGGCAGAGCGCTCCCTTGGCCCCAACGCCGAGTTGTGGCGGGCGGGGGTGAAACCTGACCCGGCAAACCCCGAAATGAGGCCGGGCAGACAGAGCTGAAAAGTGTCCAAGTGGGTCCCAAGCAAAACAAGAGATGAAACATTTCAGGTTATTGCGTTCTCCCTTTGAAGCGAACTATTTCCCGCCGATAACAATGCGTAGGTATATTTAGACAGCTCGGCTCGTCCAAGGAGAATGTGTCTTGCGCTATTTGAGAAAAACTCTAAGAGTAAGTGCAAATATTTGATGCTGAAGAGCTCTTAAGGCTTGAAGAGTACCATTTACTTATTTCTACACATCAGTGTGGGCTTAGGATGTTAAATAGATTAAAAGGCTAAGAGAGGTCACTGAAGTAGACTCTCTTTCTCTCATCCTGACTTTTTTTTTTCCTTGCAAAGTTTTTTGCGCTTTCTTTAGAGGGTCCTTGGCAAACTCCTCAGAAGAGCCACCTCGGATACTGTATAAGCTTGTGGCTCCCTGAACGCCGGCCCCCGCCCCTC